ATATTATATATATTTAAAAAGGACAACAGATAAAGTAAAATTATTTGTGATAGAATAATAAATCAAAATAAGTAAATAATGATAAAATTAAAATAGATAAAAATATTTGCCTAACCTAAAATATGAAAAAATATAATTAATTTGAAATGAATTTAAAAATTAAAAAAAAAATGATAATTATTTTGACACAAAAAGTGTAAATACAAATAGGGTTAGATATAAGTATGGTGTTGAACTCCACATATCCAATTTTTGAGGTACTTGTGTTGAAATTTTGAGTTTGGCCATTGCTCAAAATATTTTTCACTGCATGGCATCGTGCACTGTGTCTTCCTCATTCAACTCTCAAGAGAAACGACTTTTCAAAACAATTTTTACCGAAATAAATGGAGTCTACTTCAAAGAAGATGTCAAGAGATTGCTTTCGGACAGCATATGCTCGTATATTGTTAAAATTCCTTGAAGATCAAGACAGAGATCAATTCTTTTGTACAAAAATTGAGTTTCAATTGAGGAGTTATATCTAATTTAAAATTAATTAATAATAAATAATATTTTATAATAAAAAAATAACATAATTTTTTTGTATTTTAATTATATATATTTTTATTATATAGATTTTTGTACTCAATACTTCTCACCGGAATTCCATTGACACATACTAAGGGTACATCATCTGTAGTTAATATTTGAAGCATCAAAACATGGATTCCTTTAGGTAAATTAAAGAGCCAGTTTTACATAATAACATGGAAAGACAGTGTTATGCTAGATTCCACAATCCATTCACATCGACTCTCTCCAAGTGAGGGTCAGTTCATACGTTCGGATTATTGGAGCAAGCTTTGTAACTGGAAACCAATGATTTGTATTCATAAAGCTGAATCAAATATATACAAGTGTTTGTAGTTACACAAGGAAACTAAAGATATATACAATAATGGAGTATATATGATTTAAAACAGTAACTGATATGCTGCTATAATTTGTAACTGATATGCTGCTATAATGCAGAATACATAGTTGCCAAGATTGAGTCTTGTTGCTGTCATTCACGAGCGGGGATTGTGTTGCCGTAATTCACGAGCGAGGATTGCTGGAATTGATGACCGGATTTGTTGCCGTGATACGCCCCCGCAAGATGGAGCTACCATCAGTAACTCCAATCTTGGATTTCAGTTGAGAGAAGCGAGCTGAAGATAAAGGTTTTGTCAGCCCATCGGCAAGCTGGTCAATAGTGGAGATGTGACTGACCCGCAACAGCTTTCGATCCACTAATTCACGCACAAAATGAAGATCAATGGCAATGTGCTTCATGCGAGTATGCATTACGGGATTGCTGCTAAGATGAGTAGCACCAATATTGTCACAGTATATGGCAGGCGGAGAAGAGACAGGATGACCCAGTTCGCGGAGAATATTACAGACCCAAATGACCTCAGAGGAAGCAGCAGCTAACGCACGATACTCTGCCTTAGTTGAACTACGAGCAACAGCCTTTTGTTTACAAGCCTTCCAAGAAATTGGAGTGCTGCCCAAGAACACAATGAAGCCAGTGGTAGACTGAAGGGTATCCTTGTCACCGGCCCAATCAGAATCAGAAAAGGCATGAAGAGGAGACAGAGGTTGCCGGCGAAGTAGAAGTCCATGAAAGACAGACCCTTTGAGATAACGTAAGATACGCTTGGCAGCCTGCATATGCACATCAGATGGTGCATGAAGGAACTGGGAAAGACGATTGACAGCAAAGGTAATATCCGGCCGAGTGAGATTAAGATATTGCAAAGAGCCCACTAGACTCCGATACGAAGAAGGATCTGAAAGTTTGAGACCTTGGTGCAACTGAAGAGCAGCAGTAGCCATGGGGGAGGAAATCGGTTTAGCCTCAGCCATACCAAATTTATCCAATAAATCACGAATGTACTGAGCCTGTGAAAGAAAAAGGCCTGCAGGAGTGAAAATGGCATTAACACCCAAGAAATAATTAAGAGCACCAAGATCTTTAATAGAGAAGGTGTTCCCCATCAACTTGATTAACGAATCAACTAACTTCGGGTTGCTGCCGGTCACAATAATATCATCAACATAAACCAAAAAATATAGG